CGGCCCGGCGGGCAACGGGCTGGCCCGGGCCCCACGGTGCTGCTGTGCCAGCCCCGGGAGCCCCCGGTCACCATCACCCCCCGAGCTGGGGCAGGAGGAGCCGTGCAGGGCTCTGGAGAGCTTTGGTCACAGCAGTGTTGAGTCTGTCTGGTCTCAGCGGGGACATGTGTGCTGCACCTGCCCAGGGAGTGGGAGCCTGTGCTGGGCTCCCAGCTCGGGGTGCAGGGTTTTTTATTTGTTGCTCAGGAGGTCTCCCTGGAGCCACTTGGCTTTTTTTTTTTTCTGCTGGTTTGATCTTGTAGCTATGGGATGTGGATCTCTGGCTGGGACCAAAAGCCTGTGAGCACTTGAGCACCCTGCTCTTGCTGCTGGGGGCAGTGGGCTGCACTGGGGGCTCATCCTTTGCCCAAGCCCCTCTCCCCCCATCCATGTGCAGGATGGAGGCAGGGCATGACCGTGTTTGATGAGTGAGGTTTGGCTTTGGGGGGCTTGGTAAAGCCCCCCAGAGTAGCTTGTCTCTGCTCCCCACTGCTGGGCACACCCTCCCCAAATCAGAGGGGATCCATTTGCCTCAGCAGATCCTGCTGGGACCCCAGTACAAGCAGCCAGGGCCAGGCTCTGCCAAAACACTAAAGAGACCCAAGCAGGGCCCTGACCTTTGCTAAGGAGGGGCTGCTCCCCCCCTGCCGGCCCCTGGCGTTCCATTCCCAGTCCCAGGGAATGACCATGGCAGTGGTGTGCCAACCTCTGCCACTTCCAACTCCCCTGCCCAGCACTGCAGCCCCTCCTCACCTGCTGCCCCACGGGGGTCCCCTCCTCCCTGGCAGGATGGCAGCAGGTGTGGGGGGGGCCCTGTGCATCAGGCTCCCCCACCTTGGGGACCCTCAGGGACCCAGAGCTCTGGGTAACCTGCCCTGGAGACTTGCCCTGGAGACACTTGGGTTTTCAGAATCATTATTAACCTGTTCGAGAGCTGTTCCTGCTCACAGCTAAAATAGATCTTTAATCTCTGCCCAAAATAGCTCATTTGATGAGAGGCCTCCTTAAAGCTGACACATAAATTTCCCCAGGCTGCCCGAGCCCTGCATGAGGGTGTCTGCAAACACTCAGCACCACTCCCATCCAGTTGTTTTAATTCCATCCTTAACGGACACATCTGATACCTTATTTCTTCCATCAGGTGGTTTGGACCAGTCAGGAGCAATGTGCTGTGTCCACTGCTCCAGGCAGTGCTGGCCGTGCCCCTTTTCCACCTATCCCAGCTCTGCTGGCAAGGAAAAGGGCATTTTGTGGGGTTTTTGATGTTGATTTTCTGAATTTTCAGGGGTTTCTCCTTGGAATTGTCCCGTGAGCAGACAACTTGGCACTGGGTGGGTTGGGAGAGACCTTTCCTAGTTGAAGGATCCTGGTGATGAGGGGATGGTCTGTCTGGGTGCTGGTGTGGGCCCTGTATAGGTGCTGGACCTTTCCTGGTGCTGTGCTGGGGGCCTCCATGCTGGCCTGGAGTTGCAGCACCCCAGAAATGCACCGTCCCACTAGTGGTGGGGCAGCAAGATGTTCCCTGTGTGAATGAAGGCAGGCTCTGGGCAGTGGGGAAGGGGATGTTTGCCCTGTTGGAGCAGCAGCCACCCCCTGAGCTGGGTGCTGAGATGGGAGTGCAGGTAGTGCCAGGCACTACTGCATCCCTCCCTGTGTCCCTCTGCTGTGCCCTTGTCCCTCCTGCTTGTCCCTGTGCTGGACAGGACTGTTGTGTCCCCATGCAGGGTGCACATGTGACAGTTTTGGTGATGGGCACCTTCTTCTCTCTGGGGTTCTCCCTGCAGGCTCCATCTCCCAGCTTGGGGGGTGATGGAGAAGTCAGGGGGTGAGAGACCCTCTGGACATGCAGCTGAGAGCAGGGTCCAGCCACCAGGGTTGGACCTTTGAGCTCAGCCAGCATGGCTTGGTCCCCAGCCCCCCGCTGCTCCCCCCTCCCCCAGCCAGATCCTGAGCAGCCAAATAATCACTTCCAGCATCATTATCCGTTGCAAACCCCGGCTTCCAATTTTAATCAGAGGAACTGGTGTTGCTTTAAGATCCGTGGGTTTTAAAGATCACAAGAGGGGTTAGAGAAAATTACCCTTGACTCTTACATGCTAATGTAATCTCTAACCAGATCTGCAGCACTGCAGCTAAAATTGCTTTTTAAATTAACATTTAATTATTAACAGGGCCCCCTGAAAGGCCTGGGGCTGGAGCAGGAGGAGGGGAGCGGATTACCCGGGCGGGATGGAGCTCTGGCTTTGCTGCAGCCCACACTGCTGGGAACTGCCCTGCTGGGTTTTATCGGGTGCTCCCCGTGATTTACGGTGGGGTGACCTTTCCAGGACTGAGCTGCTGAGCTCCGTGTCCCCTCCACCGACTCGGCTGGGGGGCTGTAAATCTGCTGCAGGGTGGGGATGGGCACGGGGTGGCACAGCACCACCGTGGTGCCAGCCGGGGTCCTGCTCACCAGGGGTTGGATGGGCACCCTGTGCCTTCCTACCCCCCCCACCTCCTCACCCTCCCCGGAGGGAGGTCAAATGATGAGGAACTGGTGTCTGTGGGGACCAGGGATGGTGACATTGGCCGTACTGGGGCTGCAGGAGGTCACATAGATGTCCCCTGGGAAGGTCTGCAGTGGGGTGGGAGGTTTCTCCTCTCTCCCAGTGCTGAGGGTTGGGAACGTCCCTGCTCATGGCAGGTAGCCCTGGCACTGCAGCGGGTGACACTGGGAACACTAGGGACCTTGTGGGCTTCTGCTCAATGTGTCAGTGCTGGTGCCTTGTGCAGGCTGGTGCAGCCTTGGCCTGGCTCCCACGCTGTCTGTCTGTCTGTCTGGTGCTGTCAGATGCCTCCCGTGCCTCCCCTACCTACCCAGGGTGACACAGTCACCTCCTGTCCTTGTGCCCAGCCCAGTGCTGTCTTTTCACAGCCAGGGAAGGTGACTCAAACAGCTTCTCAGAATCCCCCTTCCTGCCCCCCTTCCTCTCCCGACCCCAAAACCTCCCGTTTTCTGGGCTTGCAGCCATGCCAGTCCCTGGGGAGGATGCTCACATGTCACTGGAGCACGGCAGGTGACTGAGCCCTTGGCCCTTGCTTGGCTGCTTCTCCCCAACTGGAGGGACACCTACCCTGAGACTTTAAAAGTTCCCTTTTAAAAAAAATTATTTTATTTTTCACCCCCCCCCCCCTTCCTCCCTCCTGTCACATTTTCTTTTATCTAAATCCTCGCCTGCAAAAGCCTCTATCGACAGCTGCGCCGGCCTTATCTCGCCGGAGGGACCTTCGCGGGGCTCTTGGAGGAGATAAGCCCGACTTATCAGCTGCTGATGTCAGAGGAGGTGCCAAACCCTCCCGTCATGGGGGCTTTAGGCAGAGAATGGGGATGGGCTTTTTCTTTATTAAAGTCACAAAGACCTTGGGCTTATGAACAGGGCGATGGAGGGACGGGGCTTTGAAATGAGCCAGGCCAGGGCCAAGGGCAGCGGTTGGAGAGGGGCTGGGGAAGGATGGAAGGGGATGAGGATGGGGTTGGGGAGCAGTGCCATGGGATTGGGGCTCCTGGGGGCCTCTGCTCTGAGTGTCCCCAACGCACCCTGTGCTGGGTGTCCCCACAGGATCCTGCTTCTGGTATCCCTGAGGGATCCTGTTCCTGGTGTCCCCAATGGACACTGCTCTTGGCATCCCTGAGGGATCTCATTCCTGGCATCCCTGAGGGGTCCCCACCCTAGGGATCCCTGAGGGACCCCCCCCCCCAGCATCCCTGAAGGACAGCTGTGTGGGGTCAGGGTGGGCTGGGCTGAAGACTTGGGGTGGTTGGCAAAACTGCTGAGTGTTTGTTGCCTTCCCTGCCATGAAGGAGCCAGAGCGGCTTGAACTAAATCGGATCCTGCTGATTGGAATTAGTGCCAATGCAGATGGAGGTAACTAAGCTGGTGCTGAGCGTTGGGCCAGCCCAGCACCCAATTCCCATCAGCTGATTCAGGGGCTTTTCTGAGCAGCATTAGCAAAATGCCACCACGGCACAGATGCCCATTGTGCCAGGCCACCCACCCGCTGGCCCACGGGTGTTTTAGGGGGGCTGAGGGGTGGGTGCTGGGATGGAGGGACCGGGTCACGGCACGTGCAGCACTGGGGTCCTCGTGGTTGGTGATGGAGCAGGGCAGAGCTGGTGGGTGAGGCACAGCTTGGCTGTTGGGCCAGTCATTCCCCACTGGATGATGCTGGGAGCTGGTGACAGAGCTGGGGGGGCTGGACTGATCGGTGGCTTCACTGAGGTTTTGGCACGTGGCTCCGGCATCTTTCCCTGCTGATGTGCCTGCGCTGTGTGGCCGAGGTGGGGGTGTCTCTGGGATGGGCTGTGTGTGGTGGGGAGAGCACCTCTGCCATCCTGGGGGTGTCCCCAGGGGTTCCCAGCTGTGTCCCACAGCTCCTGCCACCAGCATCTCCCCTCATTCCTGGGGGCTCAGCCCTGGAGCGGAGCAGTGTCCGTGCCAGGGGTGTGTGGACAGGGACACGGGGCAGCATCCATGCCCCAGGTGTGGGGACAGGGACACGGGGCAGGGTCCCAGCGAGGAGCTGTCCTTGGGGCAGGGGAGGAGGTGGCAGCAGGGGAGGAGGTGACGTCCGCCCGCTAATCGGCCAGATGGTGACAGCGGGTGGGACACCAGCCCCAGGTCACTGCGTGGGTGAGGCTCAGGTAGGGCTGCACCCATCCCCTGCGTGGCCGTGGGTGTCCTGACCTGGGGCCACCCCAACCCGGGGCCACCCCAGCCCTGTCCCCAGCAGCTCCCTGTGCATGGCTGCAGCCTCCTGCTGCTGGGCTTTGGTGGGAACGGGGCTGTGGAGCGAACCCCGAGTCCCGGCGGGGAGAGACAACCTCCCTGGCACTCACACACGCTCAGCCCCTGAATAAGCAGCACTTCATTCTCTTTTCAAACTGTATAATTTCTGCCTGATTGTAATGGCATATTTTAAAATTACCAGAAATCGAAGCCAGAAAATGGATACGGCTGCTTTTACCGCGAGCTGCGTTAACAAAGGATATGTAGTGCATGAAATAAAAACACCTCCCTGCCCCCTCCTCTTTTTTTTTTCCCCCCCCTATTTTTTTTCTTTTTTTTTTAGACAGTAATAGGAGAAAATTGGTTTTGAAACTGAATAAAAGTCCCTTTCAGAGGAAATCATTTCTTTCAGGGTACCTTTGCTGCGAGTGAAATAGTGAATAATGAAAGGTGGTTACATGATTGTCTTTCATTTAGAGAGCACGAGGACAGATGGAATCGGGGAGAAATGCACGATTGGAATAATTGCATGGTAACAAGGCGCTTGTTGTGAAATTAGTATCTTAAGAAAGTAGTGAAAAAGGCTTTTACTCATGAATGCTTCATTATTAGGAGAAAACAGCCCAATTTGGGTTCTCCAGACACCTGCTTGGTATTAGATGTCTTCCTTTTCCCATCCTGTTCTTCACACCTTTCCCTGTTGTGTCTCATCCTTCCCTGAGTCCGCAGCGTGAGGGAGCCCAGTGCCAGGACGGGGATGTGGGGCAGGAATGTGTGGGTACTGATGGTTGTCTAAGCACCCATGGTGGCTGTGAAGGTGTTTCTAAGGGTGTTGTTTGAACTGGGAGAGCCCCAAGCACAGCTCAGGAGCATCAGTCCATACTCTGCTGCCCAGAGGCAATGGTTGGAGGCTCTGCCCCAGCACGGCTTGGCAACGCCACGGTGTGTTGGAGATGTCCTGGCTGCCAGAGGGCTGCAGGAGGAGATGGTTCCCCCGCAAGAAGTGATGTACCCAGGCACGTCACCTGGCTGTGGAACCCAGCCATGATCCTCAGCCATGCCACCCAGATGTGACACGCATCCATAACTGCCATCTGTGCCATCCAGATGTGACTCCAGCCATGCCACCCACCCGTGACCCCCAGCCATGCCACCAGCTGTGCCACCAGCCATCAGTGAACCTTCAGCCTGGAGAACAGGGGCTGCCACGCTGCAACACTGGAGGCCAGACACTGCTGCCTGCTTTCCTGCTGCTCCTGCCCAGGTCTCCTGCCCTCCGAGTGGGAATATTGCTGCCCAACAGCCAGAGCAGGGGGACGTGTCTGTCAGCAGCGGCAGGTGATGACAGCGGCTCAGGGGATGTACAGTGAGCAGAGTGGTGGTGATGATGACTTTGGCCTGACTCCCCCAGCTTTTGTTGAGCAGATTTTGATGCCAGCTGGGAGCAAGTGACAGATCCCAGGACCCCAAGTGGGATTTTAGCACTGGCTTTCCCCAGCCCTGGCCAGAGCTGGTGGGATCGTGCTGTGCCAGGCTGGATGCTCCAGCTCTGCCCCATTCCTGGCAGGAAGGGCAGAAAGCTTTGTAGGAAGCAAAGAGACAGACCTTCATCTGTATTTTACATACATTCCTGTTTATTTAACACTTTCAGAGTTGTTTCTCTCCCAAGCAGAGTGCTCGGGGGGGGGGGTGGGTGGGCAGGAGGGAGGTGGGGGCAGCAGGGTGGGCAGGTCCCCTGTCCTGACCCTGTGTCCCTTTCTTGGCAGGACACAGGTGGGGGGCAGGCACGGTGGCGGCCGCCCGGG